AACAGATTTTAAGCCTTCTAAAAATCCTTTCGCAGTCAGCATCTTCATTCCTTTGACGCTCATATGTCGAAGTCTATTGTGCCATAGACTTGAATTGGAAGCACTCTCAGCAGCAACAGTCATGTTTATACACTCTGCAGTAGTGTATAAGGTCCCAGATTTTGTGCCACGTGCAACAACCATGACACCCTTCACAATCTTCCATGAACTCTTTCCAAACTCTGCTGTATAGCCTGTGCTATCCAACTGACCAATAGAGATCAGGTTCTTCTTGAGACCAGGAATGTATTTGACATCTTGTAATGTCCACTGATTTTCTGCTCGAGTTTGTATGGAGACATCTCCCTTCCCTTCAATCTCCAGAGTTTTGTTGTCGGCAAGATACACCTTCCCAAAATTTCCTAATTTGAAATTTCGAAACAATTCCTTACTTGGAGACGAATGGAACGATGCACCTGAATCCAAAATCCAAGAATCAGCTGGGCTGTCCACACTAGGGATTAAAACGTCCTCAGTATCTTCTGTTGTATATATAGAATCATCATCATCTTCAGATTTATGATTCTGCTTCTTCTTCAGTTTTGTACAATCTGTTCGAAAGTGTCCTCTTCCCCCACAGCTCCAACACGTTACGTTGGGTTTGTTTAGAGATTTTTCCCGGTTCTTTGATTTTGATCGCCCATGTTTGTTTGAGCTTTTTGATTTACTTCTTCCCCTTCGATCAACACTGAGAGCATTGCCTGATGAATCTCCAGTTTCTCGTTTGCAAATACTTTCGCTAAGAACTACATCTCAAATTTCACCAAACTTCAGTTTATCAGATCCTCGGGAACTACTGATTGCGGCAACAACAGTATCCCATGACTCGGGTAAGGATGACATCAAAATCAACACTTTAATTTCATCTTCGAAATTAATTTCCACCGAACTCAGTTGACTTATGATCATATTGAATTCATTTATATGATCAGCAAGAGGTCCACCTTCAGACATTTGTAGATTGAACAATCTCCGCATCAAATACACCTTGTTCATAGCCGATGGTTTTTCATACATATTTGACAGCGCCTTCAATAGATCTGACGTTGTCTTCTCCTTGATAATGTTGAACGCCACGTTTCTGGATAGCATCAACCGGATCAGCCCCAAGGCTTGTCGATCCTTGAGCTTCCACTGCTCCGTGGTCATGGTATCCGACTTCACCCCCAACAGAGGTTCGTGAAGATCTTTCTAGTACAGATAATCTTCAATCTGCATCTTCCAGAAACCGAAATCGGATCCATCAAACTTCTCAATTCTAATCTTTGAACTTTCCATCTTCACAGATCGTAGTGAATTTTGCCTAGCTCTGATACCAGTTGTTAGGATCGCACAACAACGCACACGCTCGATCTAGATGAACACAAAGAACAGGATAGAGAAAATTACAAGGAGAACTCTAGCTAAAGGAATTTTTTTTATTGATGACTTCAGATATGTACAACAAGAGAGAGTACAGAGAATAGAAAGTACATTTTCAAAGGTCTATTGGACGGGATATATATATGGTTCAGTCTACTATATATAGTTTTACCAGATTTAACCATCTACTATATATAGTTATTTACTATATATAGCTTTACCGGATATAGCTTTACCATATATGTCTTTATTAAATATGGCTTTACCAAATATAGCTTTATCAGATATAGCCGTTGACCAAGCTATAAATACAGGGAGCAGACTTCGTAACCTAACACTGTACTCGTCCAGGTCCTCCATTCCATTGAATCTACATGACCTAATAACTCATTATAATATTTAAGGTAAAATCTTTGCAAAATAGTTAAAAGTTTAACTATTTCTATCATCCTCTCAATCATCAGCCACCTTACTTGAATATTTAGCAATAAACTCCTCGAATGTGTATTATTTTGCATACACCATCGCTATCCATGTACAATAAATTTATAGGTCATAGGCAGCAAACAAAATCAGGATTGATTTAGAATTTTCATTCATGATCAAATTCTATTTATTTCACTTGTAATTTTGTTGAGAAAATGATGGGACATTGAGAGATTCTGTGTATAGATTGTTCTTTGAATTATCAGATTGCAACGGATAAAAAGAAAAGAGTATTCACTTTTGTTAGGTTGATCTGGTAAATAATTATTAACTACCCTCTACTTTTTCAGCTTCAAAACTTTAACTGCCGTTAATAACTCTCTTCACATGATGTCTAGGTTAGGACCCAGAAAAAGAAACTCAACACAAACACACTCATATGTGTTGGTTCAATTCAGCTCAATTTTTCGAGAATTTCAATTACTTTACCATTTCTCAACTAAACCGTAAACTTTTTACCATTTCTCAACTAAACCCTAAATTTTACCGTATTGTTCGATGTCTTCAATTTTTAGTTGATTCCTAAAGTTCGAATAATAGTCTTTTGCGCGTTAGAGTTTTGAAAATTTTCACTTTATAGTGAAATAATCTTTGTTCTCAAAATATTGATTTAATTTGATGTTTTGCAAAATGTAAGGTTGTTGGACGATAATGTGATGTCCCACGTTGGTTGGGGAGGAGAACAAACCACCAGTCATGAGTGTGTGGAAACCTTCCCCTAGCAGACGTGTTTTAAAGCCTTGAGGGAAAGTCCGGAAGGAAAAGTCTAAATGGTATCAGAGCCAGACACTGGACGATGTGCCAGCCTTCTTGCTGTTCCTTGAAGGGGGTAGACACAAGGCGGTGTGGTCCCACATCGATTGGAGGAAGGAAAGAGTGCCAGCAAGGACGCTGGGCCCCAAAGGGGGTGGATTGTGATGTCCCACATTGGTTGGGGAGGAGAACAGCGGTCCCACATAAATTGGAGGAAGGAAAAACTCTGAAGGGGTGGAAATTTTGGTTGGGTAGGAGAACAAACCACCGTTTACAAGGGTGCGTGGAAACTTTCTCCTATTCTTTTAAAATCTTGAGGGGAAGCTCGAAAGAAAAAGTCCAAATAAGACAATATCTGCTGGCTATGGATCTGGGCCGTTACAGAAAGTAATCTTAATTATTTAAATTTTATATAGGAAAAGATGTTCCTCTATGTTATGTTCATGGTAGAGATGAGAGAAGTAAAAAATAAAAATATATATAAATAATAGAAAGAAAAGGCTTTGTATATAAAAATCAACCGGTGGAGTGATTTATTGCCATTTGCTTTCAAGGAAAGAAAAGTATTTTCTTTTTCTAATCTTTTATTATTGTTATTATTATTAATAATATAATAATAGTTTGAGATATTGTATTTTAATTCTGAATTTTTATTTAAAAAAAAGATAATAATAATAACTACAAAGTATTTGGTCCTTATAATTAGGACATAATTTTATTTTGAAAGTATTATTATTATTATTATTATTATTATAATATATGGGAAGGGATAGATGCCTTATGTAAGAGAGGTGGAAAAGATATGGGGGGTACCCCCCACTATGCCCCCACCTTGTTTTGTATTTACAGCCTAACACCTACTTCCACAACTCTCTCTCTCTTCTTTTCTTCTTTTTCTCTCTCTAAATGTGAATCTTATAAATAAATATTTGTAATTTTTAATGTTATTATAAGGTCATGAATATGGATGCCATACAATGAGGTGGGGTGTACAGTAACAAACACCCATAATGTCTTTACAACCCAATCACATGTGTCCATGTGTATGGTGGTTCCAAATTTAAGTTTTATTATTATTATATTTTAGAAAAAAGTGGAACAGCCACATTGGATCTCACACACCCACTTCCACATTTGTAATCATCATGTTTGCTTATGTTTTTTACTTTCACCTCTCAATTTTACCTTTTAACCGCAGATAATATCATGTGGAGGTTTGGGATAATTTTTAAAATAAAATTACCAATTATTTATTATGATAATTTTTAAAATAAAATTACCAATTATTTATTATGAAAGGACTCAAGTTGTGAAACACAAAAAGGGTGGGTTAGTTCACATGGGCATGTGATGTGAATGTCACTTGCATCTTCTGGATTAACCCCTTTTTTTTTTTTTTTTAATTTTATATTGAAATTAAAATTCTGAAAATAAATAAATATTTTTCTCTGAGTGAAAATTTTAGTTTCAAATTCACGTCATTTTCTTTCCTTGTTTTGTGGGGGCTGAGGGAGGGGTGAAATTTTGTCCACAAATTATTATTTTTAATATATATGTTAGCTATTACTTAAATCATTTTGTTTATATATATATATATATATATCCTGACATGACATCAGAGGTGTGAAAACAAGACTCCCCTTAACATAACCTTAACTATGAACTCCACCCATTATAATGATTCTTCTTTTTTTATTATTTTTTATATACTTATTTTATTATTTATAATTTATTTTTTAATTAAGAAAAAAAAAAACAATATCAAATATGTGGGTAACTTAATTACCCACGTTTTTACTTATTAAGTACTTTTCAAAAGCACCTTTGGTTTTAGAATAACCTTGGAATAATAATAATAATATAAGGTCTTTTTAAAGAGTAGTGCTTCCAAGGTAACCACTTTTTTTAATTCTCTAATTTTCTTTTTCTTAATCATCATCTACTTATTAAAATTACCTAAAATGCCCTTCAAATTTACCATAAACGGTTCAATTACCACTTTTTTTTCTTTTTTTTTACTATTCTAAAAGTAACCTATTTTGAATATTACTGGGTGAAGTTTGATTAAATTACAATTTAAATGGTACTTTACTTAAAAGTGAATGTGGGGTTGAAAGAAAAAGAGTAAATTAGAAGGGTCATCAAAAGCATGTGCTGTGGATTTCTTGCATTAATAGTGTTTTTAATGCTGAATTATCACTTTTCACATTATTATTATTATTATTATTATTATTATGCCTTTTTTTATTTTTTATTTATTTAATATCTAAAAGAAGAACACATACACATTGGATTGCTGCAATTGTGGACATCATTGGAACATGAGAGCATGTGGTGATGAAGTACTAAGCTTTTTATGTCTAATATATATATGCTTAATTGTATACTAATCATAAAGCTTCTAAGCTTAATCAAATAATGATTACCCACTCACTCATTATAAACAATTAAAAACAAGTACAAAGTTAATTAAGAGAAGAGGTACATTTTGTATATGGGCCCCCATGTCGGCCCAAACAATTCCCCAAAAAAAAGCCCATTATGGGAGGCCCCCCATGTGCCCACACAACAAAAATAAAGACCAAGAATTTGTGTCTCTCTCTCTCTCTCTCTCTCATGTCAACCTCTCTGATGTTGAGAGATGCAAATGGATAAGAGGATAAAGCTTGGGCTGTTTTTTCATTCTTTTAATGATTCATTTGAGCCTCTTTATGGGCTTCTATATTGGGCCGCTATATGGGCCGCTACATGGCTTTGGAAATGGAGACTCCAAGGGGAATATTTGGTTCATATGAGAGGAGCCTTTGGAATAAGTTCTTCAAAAACAGAGTTCAAATCCTGTGAAGATGAGAGCATCTCCTTTTCTTCAGTTGTGATGCTATGAGTTCATTCTCGACCCTCATCCTCTCATTTTCCAACTTCAATTTTTCTAATTCCCGCTCTCGTTTCTTCTTAAATCGCTCCCACTTCATACGTTCGTTCTCCAATTCCAATCTCCCTATTTCGATTCGAACACGTTTCTCTTCTAACTCAATACAATGCGACTCGATCCGTAGCTGTTGTAACTGACAAATTCTATCAGTTTCAGCTACAACTTGATTCGTTACAAATCGAGCAACTCGAGAACTATCAATTCTATTTCCGAGAACCAACTGTAAAGAATGAAGCAATTCTGGATCATGAGGCAAATGCAGTCTATTGCCATTATGATAAGAACACATCTCCTCATAGAACAAATGCTTGGAGTTTAGAATCTTCCTAACATCATCCTTTTCCTTTGCTTTCAAATAATCTATCTCGTCCAAAACCGCAGGGTTCTCGACAGCTTCGCAGGACGTCCCCCTACCGAGCATATCATTCAGTCTCTTATACCTTTTGTTGAGATCATTAAATTTATCCTCACATTGCTGGGGCGAAACATGATAACCTCGCTCGCCCATTACCTTCGAAACCGATTTCCACTTCCCCTTCTTTTGTAACACTACAAGTCTCCTTGTCCCTAAGCTTCCACATCCAGAACCAGAATCCTCTCCCATATAGGATAAAACAGTAATCAAGAGCTTCACCATCTTGTTCGTCCACTTCACACGCTGCCATTGCGATCCATTCTTCTCGTTACGAGCATCATTATGAACATAGATCCCCTCCTCATCTTCATCGCTTGTCATATCATTGCCCCTCTCCCTGTTATCATAATCGCCAAGTCCAATCCAATGATCCCTCTGTTGCAAGCTTCCCATTGTCAATGGAAAGCTGCCACGAACCGGAGATTGATATCGACTACTATCATGATATTGTGGGTGTTGATAAGGAACCCCCATAGATCCTTGCCAGTCACCACCTCCATAAGAAACCCCCCCAGGAATCATGGATGCCTTCAAATATTTCATACTCTAATTCACGCCCTGTTTGGATCCAAATAGAAGCACAGTAGTTCTTATTTTCCCCTCATTTTGAATTGCTTCAATCAATCAATCAATTCGAGTAATCTAAACCCTAACAACATCAATCAATCCAAACAGAAATCCATTTCCTAAATCAAAGTTCCAAAACCACATTCAAATGCACAAACATAGAAACTCAGAAACCAATGCGAAATCCACAGAAAAGCTTTGCAATCTAAAGAACATCACAGATAAAGAAAGAAACGGCATTAAGGTATTAAAATCGATTACCTGAAAATGAGGCGAAGAACTCCGTAATCAGTGTTAAGAGTATCAGGTCTGATGAAGAACCGCAAATCAAATAATAATAATAAGAAGAAATGAAGGGAGGGAAGGTTCAGAGAACCCATTATAGATTATTAATTTAAGGGCTCGTTTGCCAACGAAATGAGCGTAGTGCTAATACGGGAAATTATTATGATATTGCGAAGGCCGAATGCCCATATTTGGATAGGCCCCAATTATTGGGGTGTCTGCAATATTTTAACTAGTACAAATCTTCATTCAATTCCAACCTCTTGCTGCAACCTTTTCACTCTCCTCATTAACTACAGAACAAATCTAAATGTCAATATCCAAACATATAAAAATTCAACTAAAGTTGAGACCTTTTCATCAATTTTTTTTATTCTTTATAGGCTAGTGTTTTGTTTGTATGTGGCATGTGACTTCTCATATTTTAGGAACCATACAGATTCCTATCTCTGACCCGACCTAGAGGGATTTTACTAAGGACCTTAGAGACAATATTGGAAAGATATAGTGGTAAAGATTTTGAAATTTTAGATTCGATTTTTCTTTTAGATTCGGTATTCCTTGAGTGTTAAGTTATGAAATTAATTTATAAGGTATTTATGAGGTCGTTTATGTAACGACCCAGATCCACTGCTAGCATATATTGTCCTCTTTGGACTTTCCTTTTCGGGCTTGCCCTCAAAGCTTTAAAACTCGTCTGCTAGAGGAAGGTTTCCACTCCCTTATAAATGGTGGTTTGTTCTCCTCCCCAATCAACGTGAGACAGTTTAGTACAAAACTCAGGAAAGAATCTATGAGAAAAATTGATTACAAGTCGGAGTTTTGATTGAATCTTAAGAACAGTACGATTTTAGATTTTGTTCAACAACTCTCCATAGTTACTAAATTGAATGAGGATAATTGTATTGAAAAATTGGATTAAAGTTCTTCCAACTTTAACGAAGGAATCCAGTTTAATCAAGTTATATAGAAAAAGATATGAATATTGAAAGAAAGTAGACAAAGTACATTATCGAATTCTATTTGCAGATGCGTTGAAGAGGGTTCGAAAGGAGGTGCACTTGCGCGAAATAACATCATCGATAGGATTCAGAAACTTGTACCTTCAAGCTTAACCTAGGTCAGTCGTATAGGATAGTGCGTCGAGGTGATTTGTGCCTCTATCGTGTGTGACAATGGACAAGGAGACTTTGTAAACTTACCCTAAAAGAGGGCGACAGACCACACAAGTAGACTTTGTAGTTTATCATCACACAGGACCGCTCCCCCGAATTTAGTGTGAATTTATAGTCTTGTGTAAGGGTTGCAAACTATCCTCACCCACAAGTAGACTTTGTAGTTTATCATCACATAGGATCGCTCCCCCGAATTTAGTGTGAATTTATAGTCTTGTGTAAGGGTTGCAAACTATCCTCACCCAAATGATGTTCAGGAGAGATAATACATATTATCATTTATGAGATGATTATGATAAGGTCACGTCTCCTACGGTGAATAGACTAACAATTCACTTCCAAGGTACTGTAGTTAGCTAAGTCTAAAGAATAGAGAAGTTGGTTCACCACATAACTCAAATAAGTCGTATAGTAGATCCACGTGCCAGAATAGGTGAATAACTTCTCCGATTGGGTTTAATCTAAGGAACTGAACAATTTTTTAGACCCAATTGAGTTTGCGACATACACGAGAACCACTTGAAACTTCAAGACCTCCAAGAAGCTCAAATAACTACAGAACTTAGGCCTAAACTTGCTAAAACCTAAATGAAAGTCTCTGATAATCTATTGAGTCATGGATGTGATTGGAGTCCGGTGGCTTAATGAATACACTAAATAAATATTATATATATATATATATATATATATATATTTTCTTCATGGGACTCTGCGAGAGTTGTACATTCACAAATGAGAGTCGTCATGGGCGTCAATCCTTATGTACTTAGAAGTTATTTATTATTTTGTATCTCATTTCCTATTTTATAATAAACTTTTAAATAAGAATTTGTAAATTTTTTTATTTTGATCTTTTAAAGGATATTTTTTTAATTTGCTCAAAATTTTTATTGTACTTTTTATTTGGTTAAGTCTACGTTGCAATTCGTGACTCAAATCTTCGAAAATCAGGTTTTGACTAATTGGTATCAACGCAATTGAATCATAGGTCTTGTACATTGGTCTAGATAGAGCGTCGTACATCATCTATGGCTTAACTCGATGATACGTCCCGCTACAATCAAATAAGATGTGATTGAATTTCATGAGATAGAACGTGTAAGAGCCATAATTTATTGTTGATCATTGAAATATTCTTTCGCAGTTGATTGAGATGCAAGGGTGAATAGGTTAATTATCTTTTGATATATCATAAAGAAGGATTTCATGTATGATATAGATCCCAAGAGAGGATTTCAATTGCAGATGGCACCATAGTGAAAGTCCTAAAAGTTAAGACAACTAACCTTTGGAGGTATCAAGAGAGATCCCTCAAGTACCAGCGCTTACCCAGGACGTGCCACTAGCACAACCTACCATTACTTTCACCCTAGAGTCCATGCAGTTGTTTATGACAACCACAATAGATAGCTAGACTAAATTAGAGGGACAAAAGTTGAATCCAGTGACCTGAGGGATTTTAAAAACTACAACTCACCCTTCTTTGACGATGGAAAGGTAGATCTAGTAGCCATTGAAGCATGGTTGGAGGCAATAAAGATGACCTTGTAGTATATGAAATGACCATACCAGTTCCAGGTGCACTAGACCACTAACATGTTGAAGGGCGAAACATATTTCTGGTTGAAAAGCGCACAATGCATGCTCAGTGTCGATGGAGGTGCTATGACATGGCCCCTATCTCGTTGTCACAAGATATAAGAACCATACTACATATTTAGATATGAAGCAAGGTGATACAATCTATCAATGAGTATGACCACGAGTTAAACAACTTTTCCCAATTTGCTTCATGAGTTTGCAAATACAGATAAAAAAAAGATTGACAGTTTTATCTAGGGTCTTAGAGACAAGATTTAAGGCTTTGAAGTGGCCCAAGCTTTATCAAATTACATCACAATATTGTGAATAGCTATTGTGATAGATATAAAGAGGCATAAGGGTAGGGTAAGCAAGTAGAGACTGTCAAAGCTTTCTTAGGACAGAAGAAGAGACTAGATATGAATTCCTTTTGGTCGGACTGATAGTGTCATAAGTGATGGACCTCCCACCCATGTTGAGTTGTAACTGCTAGAATAAACCTTATCGTGTCTAGTCTAATCACATACGCGAAAACTTCCACAAAATCAACTCCTTATCATTGCATATATCCCTTCGCCACGAGTCTTGCTTTATGCTTGCTGACATTTCTTCACTATTCTTCTTCAACTTAAACAACTACTTCAAACCGATGGGCTTGTGTCTGGTATGTACATTAGTCAGTGCCCACATCTTGTTCTTCTCAATGGTTTCAAGCTCTTTTTGTACAGTCTCTTGCCATATTGTCTCAGTTGCTGCATCACGGTAAGATGTCGGCTCCTCACCTGCGAGCAACACTAACTCGTCGGGTTCCAATTATTCTTCAAGTGTATTCGTATAAATTTCAGTAAGAGAACGAAACTTCTTTGGTACATCCTCTATTATGGATCCTCATGTGCTCTCGCTTGAGCTCTTTTGTTTTAGAGAATTCATCACGCCTTTCAATATCATTAATGATGACATGTGTGGATTTGTCAGTACCCTTTCTAGGTGAATTCTATAACAGTTTGCTTGTTGTCGTCAACGCTGCACAATCTCACTTCTTCTCTTCTTCAACTATGACATCTCTACTTACATAAATTTTCTCATATTACGAATAATACAGCCTCTGTGTCTTCTCATTCTCTATGCCAAAGTACACTATCTTTTGTCTTCTTTCATCAAGCTTTTTGATATATGACTTTACAGACTTAATATGTGATGTACAACTGAACAATCTTAGGTATTCGAAGTGAGGTGCCTTGCCGAACCATGCTTCGACACTTCATTTTTTTGTGGAGTGTATGGTGCGGTAAGTTGATACTTGATACCTTCCTCTTCGAAAAACGTTGAGAAATTCTGGGATAAGAACGCGCCACCTTGGTCGGTATGCAAGATTTTCAGCTTGTGATCAGATTCATATTCAATGAGTCTTTTGAACTTCTAGAACACACATAATGCTCTCCTTTTTCTTCGAACATATACACTCATATCCAACTGCTATAATCGTCAACAAGTAAAAGAAAATACTTGCAACCAACAATCGATGATGGGTTGATCAGGCCACATGAATCTGCATGAGCTAGTTGTAGTGGTCGCTCAGCACAGAAACTGATTTGATTTGGGAATCGCAGCCTTGCTTGTTTGAAAACAAGGCAAATTTCACATAACTAGTTCGGGTGTATGAAAACTAGGTCATCTTCTTCTCTCTCATCATTTTGAGTGCCTAAAAGTTCACGTGCCCAAGTCTTCCATATCATAACCAAGTTGGGTCTGCAAGTGTCGTCAATAGAGAGGATGGATGGATCTTGTATAGGCGATTATGTGACTCCTCATCACACTTCTACTTGAGGCACTCTACCACATAGTGTCCATATTCTCCTCAAGAGTAACATTTGTTCATACTCTTGTCCTTCCTAGGGTTGGCATTGTCATGGGTTTGTCAGTATTGTCATAGCCTCCTCTGCCACCAAGTCCTCGGTCATGTCCGCGACCACGTCCACGGCCTCTATTTTCCTTATTATGGTTATCACGTTCCCTTGTACCTAAAAAAGAAGAGTCAGTCGCATCATTCTTTTTTGTTCATGCATATCCACTCCTCATGTGCGAGTAAGAGGTGTTTCTCCTCCTCTTTGTCTTCATAGCCACAAAATCTCTCCTCATGGACCTTAGGACGACCAACGACCACCTCAACTGATATGTTCTTGAGGTTGTCAAACTGCTTGATGGAGGTAAGAATCTGCATCGATCTCAAGGGAATAACATGAAGGAACTTCTTAACGATTGAGATCTCATCCACCTTGCTACCTAACAAATGGATGCCACTAACGATCGTCATCAACTTCATGGAAAAATCGTCTATTGATTTCCGTCCTTCATGTGGATAGCCTCGAATGCACTCTAAGGTCTGCACTTTTGCTTCCTTAACACGTTCCATACCCACATGCATTGTTTGCAACGTCTCCCATGTTACTTTTTCCGAGTCCTTCTTTGCTAACATGAGAAGGGCGTCTGTTAAAAATCACATGTTTGTTTAGATTGCTGTTACCATGCAGATTTTTAGGTAGAATTTTTAATATCCTTCTATATTATTTGTATATATATAGAGCATTCTTGCTCTTCATAATACAATCTTCTCATTAACCATTCAATCACTCACTCTTTCATTAACAATTGGTATCAGAGTTGTCTTCTTAAGGAATCTTTGAGATCAAATGGAAGGGGAATCATGTTTTTCAGCTGTTGCACCACTAGTCTTCGATGGAGACAATTATCAAATGTGGGCAGTTCGTAAGGAGACATATCTGAAGGCTTTGGATCTTTGAGAAGCAATAGAAGATGATTACGAGGTTCCTCCACTTCCACAAATCAAAGCACAGAAGGAAAAGAAGACAAGAAAAACAAGGGCAAAAGCTTGCCTATTTGCAGCTATATCTCAAATGATCTTCATGCAAATAATGTCCCTTAAAATAGCAATCAAGGCTAAATATGAAGAAGATGAGAGAATTCGTGGAATGAAAGTCTTGTGTTGATTAGGAATTTTGAGTTGCAGAAGATGAAGGAGTCTGAGTCAGTGAAAGAGTACTCTAACAGACTTCTCAGCATTGCCAACAAAGTGAGATTGCTTGGTTTTGTGTTAAATGATTCCAGGATCGTTGAAAAGTTGTTGGTCACTGTTCTAGAGAAGTGTGAAGCCACCATTACTACTCTGGAGAACACCAAAGACCTGTCAAAGATTTCTCTTACAAAGCTCTTGAATGGTTTACAAAAACAAGAGCAAAGGAGATCTATGAGGCAAGAAGGGGTGATTGAAGTTGCCTTACCTGTTAAGCATCAAGACAATCACAGGTATAAAAATAAGAAACATATTAAAAACCAATTGACGAATAAAAATTCATCTGCCAATTATCAGAAGGAAAAAGGAGGAGGTTTCAAAAAATTCTATCTACCTTGCCACCATTGTGAGAAGAAAGGTCATCTACCATACAAGTGCTGAAGAAGACCTGACGCCAAATGTTCCAAATGCAATCAACTTGGACATGAAGCTGTGATCTGCAAAGTCAAAGGTCAGGTGAAAGAAGTAGATGCACAAGTAGCTATTCAAGAAGAAGATCAATTGTTTGTGGTCACTTGCTCCTCAGGCACAGAATCAAGCGAGAGTTGGTTGATTGACAGTGGGTGCACAAATCACATGACATATGACAAGGAGTTTTTAAGGAATTAAGAGACACTAAAGTTAAGAGAGTGAGAATTGGCAATAGTGAACACTTGGAAGTCAAGAGAAAAGGCACAGTAATTATAACAAGCTATGAAAGTACAAAATTTAGTCCAGATGTTTTATTTGTACCGAAAATTGATCAAAGTCACTTAAGCGTTGGTCAGTTACTTGATAAAGGCTATAAAGTGTTGTTTGAGAATAAGCAGTGTGTGATCAGAGATGCTAGTGGCAAAGACTTGTTCAATGTCAAAATGAAAGGAAAAAGCTTTGCTCTAAATCCGACGACCTTTATATCCTTCATCCAACCATGCCAACATCATTCAATTCATCCAACCATGCCAACAGTAGAACCACTTATATAGCTGGCCTGAGTCGAAGTTACAAGATAATCCTAAAGCTGGTTCAAAACCGCTCCTTAAATTTCAATTTTACCTATGTAAACCCACGTCATCAAGTTATGGTATGATATACAATTTAATTCATCCAACGGTGTCAACTAATTCAACTTTTAGCCATAAGGTAACTTAGATGAACAAAAATGAGGTCATACTCACTCAATTGCTCCCGAAAATATAAAAACTACTTTGAAATGGTCTAAAACAATAAGAACAAGTCCCAAAAGTTCGAATAACTCAAATACGAGCCAAATATGTCGGCTACGTCGAAATAGAGTCACCGAAACCAAGCTCAGCCAACGTTAGAAGGCACATGAGTCAGACTATTGATTTGGTTTGGTTATGGGTCAATGTAATAAAGAATACCATTTGAACCTTATAAACCAAAGATCATTATAAACCAATTGCAGCTTTTTCGAGGCTCTCCATGCCTGTTTAGGAAAGGGTTGCCTATGTTGCTTCCCAAAATTACAAGTGTGGCAAAGAGGCATGTCATCATCAATGTCAGCGAGTCCTTCTACCAGCATCTTTGAATGCATCTGAAGCAAATCTCGATGATGAAAGTGCCTAAGTCTTTTGTGCCAAATCTCAGTGGCACTAACTCTGGTGACTATGGAGCAGGATGTCGCAAGGGTTGCCGAACCAGGTTCGGCTGCAGGTAAATTTGGGTGTGCGGGTCACTAAATGCCCATGTTTTGATGAAGCATGGGCTCTACATGCCTTTACATTTGAACCTTAAGATGTCTTTCATCAGGACCACCTTCAAGAATACTATGTTGTCCACTTCAAATCTTAAGCTCCTACGCCTCTCATGAGAATAATTTTTCTATCTACTCTGATTTGTGCGCATTCTCGCCCTGATCTGTTGTACGGCCTATTGGTAGTCTGGACTAACTCGAATCCCATCAACTCTCATTCACCTACCTCGTCCCCAGCAAACTTAGGACCTACACCATTTCCCCTATTATGCTTCAAACGATGTCATCTCAATAGTTGCTTCGAAGATGTTGTTATAAAAGAACTCCGTAAGATACAACTTAAATTCTCAACTACCTGCAAAATCCAACACACAGGCACGCAATATATCTTCCAAGATATGGTTCAAACGCTCCATCTAACCATCGGTTTGTGGATGGATACCAGTAATGAAGTCAACGCGAGTACCCAATGTTATGACAAACTATGATAGATATTGGGTGCACAGCGTGGGTCTCAATCTGACATTATCGATACTTGCACTCCATATAGTCTAACAATATCTCTCATGTATAGTTAGCCTAATGGTCAATAATATAGGTATCCTCCCCAAGTAAAAAGTATATGGACTTGGTAAGTTTTTCAACGATCATCTACATCATCGTATATCCTTTCAGAATTTTTGTAGACCCACGTTGAAGTTCATTACTATATTTCATATTTCCAATATGGAATGCTCAAAGGTTGCGACAAACATACCATCTTTGGTTGGTCATAATCCATCAACATCACCCCTTAAGGCCATAAATGAGTCTCTTGAGGTCATAAATAACTCCCACTGGTTGATACATCATTAATTTTCTAACAACCTATATTAACTCATGGATCTTACCTAATTACCCTTAAGATCATAAATGAACCTCATATAAAGTTTCATATCATTTAGAGTTCTTTAACGTCTTGAAAATATCATAGAATTCTTATGGAGTACTTTTGGTCATTTACCAACCCAAATCTTGGTTTAAATCCTCAACATATTCCAATGACCTTGAATATTTTCATAATCCTTCTAAACCATCACATAAGGAAAAAATTTATACTATGCAAAGGTCATTTGGGTCATAAGCCAGTGAGCCATAATTATAGGGTATTTTGGTCATGTTTTAGCTACCCTTGGCTTTGCCCCCTAACCTAATCCAATGACCACAAAATTTCATATATAACCTTGTCATGTCATTTGAAGCTTTCCGTTACAATTTCATGAGGAAAAGAGTCCATTTAGTAGGTTCATGGCTTAGGCGCATCCTTTAAATCAACATTCATGTGGATACTAATGCTGGAAAAATATCAAATATTTAACCCAACCTTAATTCAAATCATTTTTTTTTAAAGTCATTTAAGATAACTTGATTTCTTCTTTTAACTAGATTAATGGTTTAACCAGTTTCATGTATTACTTGACTTTCAAGTCACATCCTCTAAACCTTGCTAAATGTCCAACAACAGACCCATTTACCTATATATCCTCACAAACTAATTTTAAAAGATTCCCCGAGTAGAAAGACGGTACAGATAATTGGTATTGCAGAGGCATAGTGGATATCATTACATGTAATAGAACTTGGGATACTAAATCCAACTTCAAATAAAGGGTCTTGGAACCTTAACTACCACAATACCTTTGGAACATCTTGAAATGGGCTATTTTTCTAAAAAACAAAAAACAGAAAACAAAACAAAGGTTCATATTGAGCTATGAAATATATTGGTGTAAGGGTATAGGGAAGATTACCATAGAACTTTTAGTTGATTTAGAGACAAATTCTACAATTGTAATCATGGCGATCCTTCGCCCAAATCATTCTTAAATTTAAGATATATCCTGAAAGTCTCGTATTGTAGTCTATCTCCATAAAATTTCTATAACACTTTGACCATGATCGTAACACCTCATTGATACTTTTAAATCACCTTAGAGGCTCTCAAAATGTAACCTTGACATCTTTTCAACCCATAATTGTCATCATACTATTATATAGACATTATTCTCATATTCTCTAGTAGAGTTTAGGTGACATCTCCGTAGTTGGCCCCATACCGTAAGTGTTGGGTTATGGAGCATGCTGCTTATTTATAGCTCGTTCTACGGTTCTACGTAATAAAGCTATATGTAGTAAATGACATATAATGCAAATGGTCATATATAGTGAAACAATATATAATAAAAGGCTAAAGATGATTATATATGGTAAAGTTACAGTAAATTGAACTATATATATACAATCTTAGTAGTGCTTTTAAAATGTACTTTCTGCCTTATCTATATTGTCTCTTACCGTACATACTTAAAGTCATCAATATAAATCTTTATTTAATATTCCTCCTCTCATTTTCTCTCTCCTGTTCTTTGTGATCATCTAGATGGTGTGTTGTGTTATTGTGTGATCCTATGAACTAGTATCAAATTTAGGCGAGATTCATCATCATCTGTGAAGATCGAAAGCTCAAATGTTGGAATTGAGAAGTTTGATGGATCCGATTTTGATTTTTGGACGATGCAGATTGAAGATTATATGTACGAGAAAGATCTTCACAAACCCCTGTAGGAGGTGAATTCGGATACAATGAACACGGAGCAGTAGAAGCTCAAGGATCAGCAGGCCTCAGGGTTGATTCGGTTGACGCTATCAAAAAATGTGGCGTTCAACATCATCAAGGAGAAGACAATATCAGATCTGTTGAAGGTACTGTTCAGTATGTACCAAAAAACGTCGACTATGAATAAGGTGTATTTTATGCGGAGATTGTTCAATTTACAAATATGTGACGGTGAATCTATTGCTGATCATATAAATGAATTCAATATGATTGTAAGTCAACTGAGATCGGTGGAAATTAATTTTGAATATGAAATTAAAGCATTGGTTTGATGTCATCTTCACCGGAATTGTGGAAAAATAATATTTTCAGACCCTCTGCAATCGAAGCAAGTTCACAATTAGGAGTTTATTGATGAACCCCTCATCATCTCTATATAACAGCATAAATACCACTTGCGTAAACGTATCATAAAAAGAGATATAGTATAGTAATCTAGACATACCTTCACGTAGATGTGTCTTTTCCCATCATCAATTCTCACATTGCAGACTTCTATTTTGGTTTCTTCATCAAACCTTCAGTATTATTCAATTTAATCGTAATGAGCAACAAATCATCAAGTTTGGTCAAGAAGCGAGGGAGATATTATCTACTAAAATTCCTCAAAACCCCAAAATCGTACCTTACATTTCCAAGCTCAATCTCCTTCTATAGTCCCTCTTGGTTCACGAATCCTTCCTGAAAGTGTAAATCGTCCTCTAACGAGTCTATACCAATCAACCTCGATCAATTTCATACCCTACAGAGAGAGAATTTAGAATATGAAACTCTAAAGCCAACCCATAAAAGTCATCTTAAACTCGAAACACGTACTTTCCCTTCACAAACCAGGCTCAGCTATTATTGGTGGACGGAGATGGGGAAAATTTGTTCGTCTCTGCCCTGCTCCAGAGACTTTCTACCATCAAGCTGATTTTGAATCAATTTAAATTTAATAAAATAATAATAATAATAATAATTAAATTTCATTAAAAGAAAATAATTTAAAAATCTATAGTACTAAAAAAAGGTTTATTTTCAATCACTTTTACCATGTATTTTAAAAGTTTAATTAATTTTTTTTCTAACTGTAGAATAAATTTGACTTTCTTTAATTATTATTTTATACCTTATTGATGACTATTTAATTTTCAATTTTAAAAATTGGTTAGCTTTCTTTTATCATTTCTTTACCATAAAATCCATCATTGAGAAGAAGTATTTAACTTCTAAATAAGATTTGAAAGCTTTCTTTTATCATTTCTTTCCATTGTTCGAAAGAAAGTATTTAAATTCTAAATAAGATTTTAAAAAAATATGACATTTTAATGATTATTCGACCATTTTCATGTTCTTAAATAAACATTTAAAATTTTAGTCATATTCCAAAAATAAAATAAATTAAGGTAATTGAGGTATGCTCTATTTCCCAAATTCAAGTTAAATAGATTAGAAATGCTAAATACTAACGAAATGAGATGGACCTCCTAATAGGAAACAAAGAGAAAAATTAATAATAAGATATATATAACTACTTAATTATTATCAATTATTTTATTTCCACAATGTTTCCAAATCATCGTTACTTAGAACATTTACATCGAGATCGATGTGTAAACGATACGGGGTGGTTAAGAACTAGAGGGAATTGATAGTAATTTTCATCCCAGCTTGGCAGTGGCCTGGGGTGGTGCATATGAAGAAGCTGTTTCCTCTTGAAAGCGTGATTTCATCCTTGCCTGAATTGAACACTTTGGCGCCTCTGGGAGCTATGCAGCTTCTATAACCCCCCTCGTCCACGGCCACCACGTTGTGAACTGTCGGGTTATAGTTGAATCCTACAAAAAAAAAAATGTATGTATTCATTGCGATCTAACTGCGAATTCGATCGGATATTATTCGAATATATTTTATATAGCTGTAATGTAACGACCCAGGTCCTCTTTGGGCTTTCCCTTTCGGGTTTACTCTCAAGGCTTTAAAACGAGTCTGCTACGGGACTTGTGTTTTGATATAATTTATCTTATCTCAAGGATTTGGTTAGTAGAATATTTTCAGATTTTCGATCCCACTTCTGTTTTTCATTCTTAACATAGTATCAGAGCATTATTCTTAATAGATACGATTACGCAAGTAAAACATCAGTTACTATTCAACTATCAAAACAAGAGTTGAACATCAGTTACTATTCAACTATCAAAACGAGAGTTGAACATCAGTTACTATTCAACTATCAAAACGAGAGTTGAAAACTCACTTAATATGTCACCAGCTTTAAACACCTTCCCATTAGGCCATCCTTCCACGCCTAGGTTCCATCCGTTCGAGTCGCCAACAACAAAAGTTGTAGCAGCATCGCCATGATCGAAGCCAAGCAGCAGCAGCAATGCCATTGCAACAACCACCATGCTCATCGAAACCGCTCCGCTGCTCCCCTCATGTCGAGCCATTCGTGAAGCCGAAGTAGCTCTCAAAAAAGATATGGAAAACAATTGTGTTCCTTTGAAGCTTGAAAATGATGGTTATAAAGATATGTAAAACATACAAAACTTCCTTTTTCTTTTCCTTTGTTTCCTGCGGAGAAGTAGCGGCCCGTCTTGCAATTGATTATGTCTCCTCGTTTTGCTATTAAAAGAAAGAGAAACAATCTTCCTCCTTTCTCTCTAGTAACTTCTCATTCCTTCCCCAATTATCTCTTCTCAGCCCACCTCAAAACAGAAAAACAATAATTGACAGGTTTAACTTGAGGAAAAAATGAGAATGGCTTTACCCAATTCACAAGACAAGATTTACGTGGAGATAGATATGATCAGTAAGATATATATTAAATCTTAATTTTATTTGTCCTATTTTTTTTATAGAAATCACAGCCAATCATGGTTAAATCTTCATTAAATCATTATAATTGTTTAGTTGAGTTAGAAACTAAATGCCAATAATTTATATGAATTCTACTAAATCACATTAGATTAATAATATTAGATCAATAAATTTATATAAGTAGACAAATAAATAGATTAAAAATAAAATGGCAAAGAAAATTTGTGAACAAAATTAAGAGGGAGTAAATATAGATAAAGAGAAAAACCAGAAAAGCAAAAGGCTACATAGTAAATATAGATAAAGAAAAAAAAATAAGAAAAGCAAATATAGAGGACAGGAAATAACTCTATCAAATTTTTTATACAAGAGAAACCATATAAAATAAGATTTTTAATAAAAACATAATTATAGATATATAACATTTCAAAACTTTTAACAATTGACCAAGGTAAATTAGAAAAATAATTTTATAGAGTTCAACTCGAAACTGATGTCATGGGCTCACTTAGGTTGGCTTGAATTTCAAAGGACAGAATCGAACTTTCATTAATGATAACTTCTGGACATCAACCTAAGCTAATCAAGTAAGTGATCTTACTATCAGCATAGTTATATTTGATGTTGACACGTGCCTCGTGGTTCGACACGTGTCATATATATTGATATGTGTGAGTTGTTTGTGGATTGATATACTTATCATATGTTATGTATATGTTATAATATGTGAACTACGGTACGATGTGTTCAATGATATGTTTGAGATAGGATACGATAAGGATGCACAAGACGAAATGTGACGATAGGAGTAAGATACGTTCATGAAACGTTAAGGTTAGGTTACATACCGAAGTGCTATGGATATTTGAGATTGATAAAAGAATATGGTTAGGTTATGTGTAGTGATGAATATGGGTAGAAAGGGATATGTTTGTGATAGATTGATAGAACAATAGCGTTAGGATATGTTCATGTGATGATATGACTAAGGTACGTTCATGTACGACATGACTGTGATAGATATAAGACGTTAAGGCTATGATAAGTAAGGGAACGATATGACCACGAAGTGTTTACGCTATGATATGATTATGATACGATATGTGTATGACGGATATATTTATATATATATATATATATATATATATATATATATGTTGTCATATGGTATGAAATATGTTATGGTATGAGATATGTGATAAATTGAATTGTTTATGATATGATATATTGTGATGCAATATGTGCGGAAGAAAAGAAAAATGACCAACAAGGGATGAAAAATATTTAGAAAAATTATAGAATTTTCGAAGAAAATAATAATAAAATATTCGAAAAGTGGCAAATTACCAAAATACCCCTAGAAGGATGGATAATCACGAAAATGCCCCTTTAATCATAATCAGAGCATCTACCGTGACCATCTGAGCAAAATCTTTCAAACCTTGAATCTCAGCCATTGGATCTCCTCCAAAATTGGATATGATCTAGAAGACGGACAGATCATCACATTCAATGGCTGGTATTCAAAACCAAAGTCGGTGAGGCTCTAATCGGAGTAGATATTTTCGGCGGATATTCCATAAAATCCAAACCGCCAATTCACGACGATTCTGGAGCTCTCAATGTCGGTTTAAGCTTCTCCTATAAAGTCTGAAGTTGGGGCAACAATATGGAACAAGAATCGAGCAAAGTTGAGAGCCTATTCAAGAGTTATGAGCGTTTAGATTGTGGGTCTCCTACTCTCTGATTTATTCCAAATTCGAGAGCAATTCTCCACCATTTCTCCCCAAACGTATTCCTACAGTTTCTAAGCAAGATTACCCACAAGTTCTATGAAGGAATGAAGTGCTGAAAGTGCCCAGAAACCATTTCTCCAATTCAATCCCCCATTGAAGAACTTAAAAGGAAAGTTTGAAAATGCAATTCGGGGATACACGACGATTCGTCGAGCAAGAATGATCCCAATAAGTTTCTGCACCTCCACAGAGTGTTTCTGTTGAAGACCACGAAGAGAAATAACCTCGGGAGCGTGCCCAATTGAAGGAAATCGATTTCTGGCTTGTGTAATAGCCCAAAAATAAATAAAGAAATAAACGAATAAAAATAATTATAAAAATAGTTAAAATTATAATAAAAAAAATTAATTAATTAAAAAAAATAAAAAAATAAAAAAAAATAAAAAATAAACCTTTCCCACTCCTCTCCACTAACCTCTCATCCCTTCCCACAATTATCTCTCCTCAACCTATCCTTATGCCAACAAGTAATAGTTACTGAAAAAAAAAAACAGAAAATCAATAATAGTAAAATTTACTTGAGAAAAAAAATGAGGATGACCTTTACCCCGTTGAGATTCACCTAAGATTTAAGTGAAGATAGATCTGATCAACAAGGTTGACTCGGATTTCAAAGGACGGGATCAAACTTTAATTAAAGATATATTCGTGACAACGACTTAAGCTGGCCAGGTAAGTGACCTTACTATCAGCATGGTTATATTTGATGTTGACACATGCCCTGTGGTTCTGCACGTGTCATATATATTGATATGTGTGAATTGTCTGTGGATCGATATGCTTCCTATATGTTATGTTATGTTATAATATGTGGTTTGTATGATTATAATTATGGTACGATGTGCTCAAGGATATGTTTGAGATAGGGTACGAGAAGGATGCACAAAACGAAATGTAACGATAGAAGTAAGATACGTTCATGAAACGTTAGAGTTAGGTTACATACTGGAGTGCTATGAATATGAGAGATTGATGAAAGAATACGGTTAGGTTATGCATAGAAAGGGATAGGTTTGTGATAGATTGATAGAACGATAGCGTTAGGGTACGTTCTTGTGACGATATGACTAAGGTACGTCACGTAATGATATGTCTATGATAGGTATAAGAACGTTAAGGCTATGGTAAGTTAGAGAACG